CGAAGTCAGAAGGAAATTGCCTGGTTTCTACCACCATCAATCTAATTTACATTATCTTACCGTCAACACAATTAAGAAAATAGACCAAGATAGGGATCCAAGAGCCCTGTAGCGCATCCCTCAAGACCTAAATCCCCACTTTCCAAAATTACAGGCCAAAGAAGAGTGAGAAATGACTCGTTGCTTCACCCTCTGAAGGGGCACACAGCACAGTTCCACACACACATCACACCTTTTTTTCCCGCAAAAGTCTTTTTTCCCCGCAAAGCCTCGCGCTTCACACCTGGGCCTCCGTTGTACACTTTGCAGTAGATCTATCAGCATTCCTCTTTTAAAAAACTACCAATGCATTTTTCAGTTCAACTAAAACACAGCTAACAATTCTTGCATGCTCTAAAAAAAGTTTCTGCCTGTCACACAAAGCCACATACAATACTTGACCTGTAAACTTTTTATCTTACCACCAGCTGCCCCACTTTAAATAAGAATCCGGCCAACCTGACTAAAAGCTTCTTCACCCAGTGTCAGCCAGGTTCGGACTTCCACAGCAGTCACACGCTCACAAAGGGCTCTCAGGAACCGCTACGAGTGGTGGGATTTACAACCCCAGCAGCAGTAAACACCTCGATGACTTTTCAGGCAAGAGTGCCAAAGGGGACCAGGAAACCTCCCCTGTGGCAAATAGACAGAAAAGTAAAACTTCTTGGACAAGCTCTCTGGGACATAATGTTTCCTGTAAATTCAGTCTCCATCTAGTTCTCTCATACACCCCCCTCCTCTGTATTTATATTGTAAATGTGGCTATCAGCATCATTAACTTTTTGTTTTGGAGAACAACATTAATCTCAAAAACTGTGTCAACAAAACATGCCCATTTGATTACTTCCCAACCCAGCCCCCCCAAAAAAAGTTAGGATATTATTATTACTATGACTCGTGCCTGCAGTTTATAAATATGAAGGTTAATAAAGTCATTTCATTCCCAGGGAACAAGGGTAGATTGATCTGTCTTTCTAGTTTATCACAATTTCCCAGCTGTGGGAGATAATCTACATTAAGAACCGGTGTCCCTATGATTAATGGCAGTCTTGCGGGCCGCAAACACACCCATTAGATTTCACATTTTATCTGATAAACACATTTCAGGGGAGTAACTTTGGAAGACAGGGAAAGTGTACCACAACCATAAAACTTAATAATTAAATCCATCATCAAGTCCACCTAGTTTTTAAATCCACTAAGAGCCACCACTGCCTTCAGCTGCTGCATAAAGCAATTTGGAGAACAGGCCCAGCTTCTCAGCCTAAACCCAAGCAGCTGCAAGGGCAGCGAATGCAGAGAAACCCCAGATCTTAACCCACCTCAGGGTGTATCATCCAGCCCCACCTGGCACCACAGCCTTGGCTCATCAGGCACCCCAGAAGCAGCTGCAAAGCTCCCCAGTCCTCCCTCTGGCCACGGACATACTACACACAGTTGGACTCTGATGTCTAGCAATAAAGCATTGACGTTATCTGTACGAACACAAAGCCTTGATTCCAGTTCAGGATCCCAGTAAGCATCACCTGCAACTATATTATCTGCAGTAAGTTCCAAAAAGGGCTGGATTTTAGCAATTCTGAAGTTGTCATCACCACACAGTATGAGATTTGGTGACCAAAGTGTAGAATTTACCTTCGTATGAGCCATCATTTTATACATGTGAATGATTTTCTGTTGCCCCCCAACCCTGTGCCAATCTTTGTGCAGAAAGAACCATCACCTTGAAGTGTGCACCTTTACCACCAACTGCTCTTTAAAACCTCACCTCTTTTTTTCCAGGGGAGAGTATGTAATAGTTACAACTCTAGCAGGAAGAAAGGTTCTGGCACCCACCTTGAACTCTGGAATCCAGCTACCTAATCCAAATGAGGGCAAGAATCCACTACCTGTCTCAAGCCCTTTGACAGTACTTTGTAAAGTGTGATGAAGCTGCAGCATACGAGGGGGAAAAAAAAAAAAGGCTGTAAAACAAAACTCAGCCTTGATCTCCATCAAGTCAAGCAAGAGGAGATGAATGCAAAATTAAATCAAGATCACCTGCAGAGACAGGAGCAAACATTTACTAGATACACTCGCCTTCACAGCCTCACTCTGTCATCCCATAAAAGGCAGGACAACAAGAAATTATGACTGTGACTGCATATCTGAACTTGCTAGCTTGTACATGGATAGCTCGGATACAAAAACTCAAAGCACTGGCCTGTGTTGGTAGGGGATTACATTAGTGTAAAACAAGCGCCACACTAGTTGTACGCAGTTCAGCATGCTGCAAGAAGAAAGATGGCTCAAGGGACAACGCAACACATTTGAAAAAAGGAAAAAAAAAAATCTCATTTTCCATCGCACAAACTCACAGGCACTAAAGGGTGGATGTGACTTAAACCAAGAGGCAGTGGATCTAAACAACTAAATCTTCACACCTGAGAGCAAGACAGTCCGATCATGATAAATTACTTTCATAAATGCAGATCATCCTGCTCTTTCCTATCAAGTCTTCAGCATTTATTTTCATTATGGTAAATAACTGCACCAACGGGATCATTTTACAATTCAAGCGTTTGCATAAACCTGTTGCGAGTCAATGCGCACATTCCCCAGGAGATTCACCGCCAGGACAAAGTCATTCCTTCTCCCAGCTAATGACAGGGCTGGCCATCAGATCAGGCTCCCTCATGAAATATTTACACAGCTCTGTCCTGCCATCACTCTGGAAACAATACTCCTAGTCCAGAGAGCCGAGGATTTACATCCAAGTCTCCACTGAGAGCCCTTTCTCCATTACCTGCTCTGGTTACAGAAGCATGAAACCAGAAATGTAGGACTGCAGCTAGGCAGATCAGCCATGCAGAACAGGAATACAGGGGCCAGTAATAAGAACTACATCGCTAAAAGCTTCAAAATTAATCTGAAAACCCAGGACATGGCTACAGCAGCGCAGTTCAGTGGCATCAGCAACAAGGAAAGGCTGATCTGCAGTTCTAGGGTCTCCAGTCTCACGGGGCTGACAACAGCTCACACCCAAAAGGGCCAGGACGCTGGCATGCACGGCACGGGTGTACTTCAGTCCCACACCAACACTTGCACTCTCAGGATTTAGCCATTTGCACAGCCAGGAGAGCAGCATTCAGCTGCCATGGCAGAATGTGGCAGATGTTTGCCAGCTCCTCTGAGGAAAAGGCTGCAGCTCAGAACTCCAGACGAGCATCTGTGCTCAGGCAGCGGCCGTCCCTCACCTGAGAGGGGCTGCTTAGGCCACAGCCACAAGAACCTGCCCTACACAGAGACACCAACAGGACGTACTGTAGCTTGTACGTACAACACACAGGTCTCTCACTGCTCAAGCAGAGCAACAAGAAAACTGAGGGGAGGGTAGTTAATTGTTTGAATCGTACATCAGCCAAAGTCACCGGCAGCAATGAGTTTTCACTCCCTGTGTATAAAGTTCCACACCCCACACCGGGTTCAGCTGTGCTCACTACAAGAACGATGAGCAATGGGAATCTAAGAACAGGAAGTATTTTATTGCTGTTCTTACTTTTGATTCCTAAACTGGACTATGACACGTGGTTTTCCTGGTTTACACTACTCCTTTATCATGGTGTTGTCATATTTTGCAGTGAAAACTCAATGCCTAATTAATCTTAAAACTGCTGGACACCACCACCTCCTTTCCCTGGTCTAAACGATCTCCCAGGCCGTGCTGCGCTGCTCCAGCAGACGCAGTTCCCTTTTTGTCAGTGACCTCTAGTGGTTAGCACATGCAGGAGAGCAGAAAGAGGACCACGGCACAGAATACACAAGGATCGATCCTTTTCTCCATCCAAAGGAAAGCCAATGTGTCACCCATCCTGTTCTTGCAAGCTGCAGTGCACAAGTCCAAAGAAGCTCATGGAGAGGAGCTCTCAGAGCAGCGTGCCTTACTCCCCCTTGTAACTCCCTCCCCTCCAAAGCACTCAGCCTCCCCTGATCCAAGGCCTGGCTTGCTGAGTCCCAGCAGTCTCCTGCTAAGGAAATTAAGTTTCAGGAAAGGGCTACAAATCCACACCACAGAGGTGCAAAATAAGGAAGGTGCAGTTACAGAGGTAGGTTGGTTGAGAGGGGGACAGTTGGCAGCTCAAGGGCTTGCAGGACAAGACAGCACCATGAAAAGATCACTGAGGGGGAAACCAAGTCAGCAGGTGACACCACATCACAGCTCCATCCTGGGGCAAATGTTTCCCGTCCCAGCTGTCAACTGCTCAGCCAGCAAAGAGCACAGGGAGCACACTAAGGCTTAGTTGAGGAGCTGTTTACACACGTGCTCCTTTGTGTGCTAACCAAATAAATGGGTTTGATACATCCTGTTCACAGACCCAACCCAGAGAAGAACCACAAGCAGAGCTGCACAGGAACGGAGACAGTAACAGCCTGCAACGAAGCAGGAATTAGTCGGTTTCAACAAGCCGAGCACACGTCAGATCAAGCTGACTGACACGCTCTGTAAGCGCTGAACTTCATCTTAGGGCAGCAGCAAGCCAGACACAGAAGGTCTTGCAGGAGCGTGTGACTACTCCACCCGCAGCCTTGCTTCCCGTCGTGACACACCAGCACAACCCACGCTTGTGTTTCAGCCGACACAGCCACGGGCAGTTACAGGAACAGGCCTAATGCTTAGACACTGGACTGTGAATTGTAGTGGCAGAGAGGGACATTCTGATCTGAATATTAGCTGTGGAAGTCATTTTTCCTCAGACTGAAAATAACAGGTTACCACCACAGCATTTGCTGGGTGAACAAGTCACAGTTCGCTGGTAGCTATATTCAACACACCTCCACGTATGTGCTTTTTTGGGATAGGTTCTCCAACAACTCCTCTAACTATATCCTATAGCTTCAAATCCAGCAGGTAATAATTTTAATCAATTCAACCCATCAGTGACAAAGACGTGGCACTTCCATACTCGCTGTAACAGCAGTACCTTTGCCTTCTTCATGTGGCCCATGATATTGCCCAGATCTTCAACATCGATGACAGAATTTGTGCTTCCAGCTTCCTCAGCATCAGCCTCTTCCTCACTACTGGTTTCAAACAGCTCCTCTGCCTGTGTAAGAGATTAGAGGGGGGAAAAAAAAAAAAAAAAATCAAAACAGAACAACCCATATATTAGGAGTGTATGTTTAACATTTGGGTAAGACTTTCATCTATGCTAACCAGGGAGATGAGCTCTCACAATCAGTAAAGAATACTGAAACACAAGGACTAGACTATCAATAACCTGTCTAATATATATAAGATGTAGCTAAACTTGAGGTTTTATCAGTGTGTATTTAAGAGTTCAGAAGTACACAGACTGTCTGAATCCACATCGGCTCCCTGAAGCAACTGTCACAACACACACCTCTCCCTATTCAAGGGGAAGGCTCCCTCATCATACAAATGTCATTTAGCCTAGGTCCACCGCTAATTCTTCAGTTCTTTCTGGATGGCTTGTTCTACTTGTTATCTGCCATGGGATCTTATCCCTCTTCCCCCTCTGCTCCAGAACAAAGTATCAATCTCTTACAGCAGCCCTCTGGGCTGCAGGCGGAAGGGGAGAAGTTAAATAACACTCCAAGGGGCCCTAAAGCAGAAATAAGGTCCCGTGGATTTTGGTTCTACCTCAGTATTGTCGTTTTCTGATGCCCCAAGTTCGTGATCCGAGCTCTCCTTGTTCTGCTTCCCTGGAGATTTGCACTTCCCTTTCTTGCACTTCCCGCTGCAGGGCTTCTTTTCCCCTCTGCAGAGGACCTGGAGCCGACTGAGGAACTTGGCTTTCCACGCTTCGAAGTCGGCCTCAATGCTGCCATGCTTGCTCTGGGCCACATTGCAGTCCCCCTCAGCACGAGTCATGATTCGTCTGGCACCGAGCATCCACAGCCACCAGTCAATATTTCTTCCAACCTAGGACAGGACAGAAGTTAGAGGGAAATTAAATGAAGCGTAAGTTAAAAGACAACTACGAAAGCAAGGATCAAGCCTGGGAAGAGCTCTACACAGCAAGTGAGAGGGTTGACAGTACCGTGCCCTCACACACTGACAAAAAGCTTTCAAAATCAGGCAATAACTCAGGAAGTATTTACCAAATGCATTACCTTATCTCCTAGAGGCATGCAGTGGTTTGGGGGGCTCCTTTCCCAATGGGGCAGCACAATCACTTCTGAGATGCGCTGCCTGTGCCCTAAGCCCAGTCCCTAATCCAGTCCTCACAACAGCTGCAAGTCTCTCACAAACTACCAGCGTCATTCAGCTTTGCAGCACTTAAGAAAGCTTGGCCTTTCAGAGGAGCAGAAATCCAAGGAAGGTGCACAGGAGATACTTACTGTGTTGTAATGATCTGCATAAACAGAGTTTCCCAAGCCAAACACAGTGTATCTCAGGCCTTTCAGATAGGATTTCCCAAAGCGGAAGTCATTCGCAGCCTCTTCTAACCACTTGCAGAACCAGGCCGCGCTCTCCGTTGGCTGTCCATCCGTGTATGTAGCTACCAAGAACACGCAAATGTTCCTGCTGGTTGTCTGATAATACAAGCAGAACAGAAAAGATCACGGCATTCTTCAGAACACGTGACACCGGGTAGAGAGCTGTAACACGTGGGCTGCCAGAAGTTAAAACGTGAGATTTTTGCTAAGTGGGTTAATAATATTTGGTGTCGGTGCTGCAGGTGATAAACTCACCAGTAGTGAACAGCCACCCTTCCTGCAAAGCCATCCTAAAGCAGCCAAGAGTGATCGAGCTGTCTCTCCCTTACTTAACAGAAAACTGGCAGTAAAACAGAACTGGGCTTCTACCCTCCCCACCCCAGTCAGCTGCTTCTTGCAGCAATAAAGTCTCCTACGGACTCAGAAAGCACCTATCAACACTCACAGAAGAAAAACCCATCAGGGATTACTCAATATAAATATCCCTCTCAATAAGTTTCTAAGTTATAAATCCATGTAGGTGGCAGAGGTACCACCACCCACTCTCCCTGGTTTTGAACCCTTTTCCAGGTGCACGTGGTCAGAGACCGCACAGGGAGACCTGGGGCAGCTGCTCTCGTGCACCAGAGTTACAGAACCAGCTCCTACACAGTCACTGTCAGCAGCAAAATAGTCTACGTGACCCTTTGCCAGGAATTTTCGAAATGTAGGTAATTTCTGCTGAGGGTTGACAGGCTATACTTTCTTAAGTAGAAGGGAAGCAATTTTTAACATACAGCTTTGGGGGTTTCCAGGATAGCAGGAGAGGAATACAAGAGAAAAGCAGCCTTCATGATCCCAGGAAAATCTTATATTTATTAATTACTCGTGTTTATGATATACCTACCTCCTCTGACAAACAATCATCTGGATCATAGTCTCCCATGCTAATGACTTCCACAGGCAAATTAAGGGAAATAACTATTTCTGCCAGACCTTTGGCAAATCTCTAAAGAAACAGAAGTAGAAGGTTATCAACTAGTTCAACCCAACTATCATAAGGGTCAAACTAGTCCTTCTGTGCTCAGGCACAAGACTTCTCCCACTGCAGAAAGAACATGACACATGAGAACTGGACACTGGACCTGAAATTCCTCACATTAAAAATATACTGGCTGAAAGAGAGTTACATGAATTCTAACAATGATTTCACATTTACACATACAAATTAAGTTTCTTTTGAGAAATCACCTAGAACAGCACTTTTCTCTACAAAGACATGCTAGTGAATAAAAAGTATATTATAAGAGTAAAGTTTAAGCTTTATAATCAATGTCTTTACTGCACACTCCATTTAAAGGGAGTAGAAAATTTGTTATTTTTATATAACTCTCACCTATCTTTCATGCTGGGCAATGACTAAGAAACTTTCTGATAACCTTTCAGATTTTTCTTACATAGTACAGTGTTTCTAAAACAAGCAACATACTTGAATCTCAACAACACTTCACATATGTGAAAAAAGTAACTTATACCTTTGCTGTGCCAGTCTGAGACCCATAGAAAATCTTTACCCCAGCAACATAGACCTCCTTTGCCTGTGGGGTGGCGTATCCGTTGACTAGCTGGTGTTCAGAAGAAGCAGGATCCCCACAGATTTTTCCAGCCTGTGAGACAAGCAGTGTGTCACATTCAGCTCCTCCTCAAAGGGATGTTAACCTCCTTTTCCCAAAATTCAAATCCCGAGACCAGACTCTCAGTACTACACAAATAAAACAGTCAAAGCTTTTAGTTTCTCTCACACCTAGAGGAACACAAGTAACTATTTCTCTGAGCAAGACCACAGGGCAATACACTCTTCTCCCACACTGGGGAGATAACAGGACCCAGGTGAACCTAAGAACCAGCTTTACACAGCACAGCTCCCTTCCACACAGAGTTCTGGGGTCTTCTCAGACAAAAGCACTTCCATGTTCAGTTACCTTCTTTTTGGGTTTTGTGGTGGTGAACAGAACGACGATCCAAACGCTGATCCCAAAAGCAACAGCAGAATAGATGTAAAATCTGTGCAGCCATAAGGACACCAGGCAGGTGTGGAAAAGGTTCCACGTATCCATCGAGATATCTAAATCTAGAATAAATCACAGATTTAGAACAAGCAGATTCCTCGGAAGTTAGAGCGAGCCGCAAAAAATAATCATACAGCACCCACAGTGCGATGACGTTAGCTCAGGCTCTGCAGAAAACAGCTCTGGGCTAAAGATAAGACACAGCAACTGAATGAAGGAGCCTTCACCTCCTCAGAGGTGTGTCAGCCAAGTGCCACCTGTGCATCCAAGCTAATGTTTTAGACTGTCATATGGAAACTGGGTTTTCCTTAAATAGTGTAGGCTCTGTTACAAGGAAAGGCAGAAAACACTTGTGCTGTGCAAGCATCTGAAAGTAAAATGTCTTGTGAAACACCCACTGTACCATATCGGCCCGAGTTTTGCACAGACCCAACACGTGCAGACCTCTGGAGCTAGAAAGCTTCATTTCAAGGAAGAAATAATCTGCACAGAGCTCACTGCTCAGCACAATCCTTGCTTGGAAGTACTAGATACCACATACACCGATTACAACAGCTTTGACCTAGAATTTCGAGGCCAGACTGAAACCCAGATTCAGTCAAAAGTATTTTTTCCAAATGGTATTATGTAAGTGAGGTTTGACTTAGAACAAGAGAAATCTTTCAAGTTATTTCAGAACGTTCAGGGTAGATACTGCTGTAGTCACATCATGCTCGCATGGTGTCTGTGGTTACTTTTTTCATACGAAACATTCAGGAGCTTAAATACAGCTTTTTTTGTGATGCTTCTTGACTGAGAAGCAGACAACCCCCTCCTACTGTTTTCTGCAGTCCTCTTGGATCTTGTTTTTGCAGAGAGCACAGAAACTGAGTATTTCCAAGAGACTAGAAACTTTGTTATCTCACTTATCCCCATGGCTGTTACTTACAGTATCAGATCAAAAGCTTAAGGAGCTGCCCTGCACACCTCCACAATCAACTCTGAACCTCCCAAAAGAGCCGGGAGCCCTTGTTGCCCTCGTGTCGGCAGCCCCATGGCTGGCAACCCAGGCAAGCAGCAAATCCTTCACGGCGGGGAGGGATGGGTCACAGAATCACGGAATGTCAGGAGTTGGAA